GGAAAAGCTAAAGGAGTTCATCACCACCAAACCAGTATTATATGAAATGCTGAAAGGTATTATCCTTTAAGAAGAGGAAGAAGAAAAAGGTAAAGATACAAATTAAGCACAACAAACATGCATCTATCAACAAGAGAATGTAAGCAAGAAAAAGGTAAAGATACAAATTATGAACAACAAACATGCATCTATCAACAAGAGAATGTAAGAATCAAGTGAATAAATAATCTGGTGATCATAATAGAATCAGGGACATAGAAAGGGAAAAAAAATAAAATTTATAAATTGTTTATTTCTGGAATTTTCCATTTAGCATTTTTGGACCACAATTGCCCAAGGGTAACTGAAACCACAGAGAGTGAAACTGAAGATAAGGGGGACCACTGTACAATGCTCACTTTGCAGTTTTTCTTCATTTTCCCCATTGACCCCCAGTCACTTTGCATCTTTGCCACATTTCTGTGCACTACAATAATCCACACTCACTGGCCAGATATATCTCACCTGGCAACTTTCTTGTTTTGAATCTGGAAATATATGAGCTGGGACTACCTAGAGCAGGAGTGGGCAACCTTTTTGTGAGTGCGTGCCAAAACCAGCAAAATCTCTGACTCAAAATTCTTCTGCGTGCCAACCCTAATTTTTTGAGAACATGTTACGCCTACTTGCTATCTCTTAAGGTGTACGTATGTGAAGAACCTTGAAGAAATAATAAAATTCATTCGTGCGACAAAAACACAGTATATGATGATGAAAAACACATTTATTTTTTAATGTATGCATGTTATGTAAAATTATTTATTTATCTAAGATGCACCTACACTGAATTTATCTGAAAAATAAAAAAGTCAATATTAAGAAAAAAATTTTAAATGGAAGATTATAAGAGAGGGTTTCGCATACCAGCAAAAGTTACTGACATGCCATGTTTGGCACACATGCCAGGGGTTGCCCACCCCTGACCTAGAGTTTTTTAGGAATTTATAAAACTGCCATTTCTTCACCCCCATTCTTATTTTTTGCCCAAAGGATATAAAGACATAACAACTGAGCTGCCCTAAAATCAAGTAATCTCTTCAAGAAAATATTCCATAAGCCCTCTAATGGGTGGTATCTGGATCTTAAATATTATTCCCGTCGTCATTACATTTTAAGGGTAAACCTTTCTCTGAGGCAAGGACCACCCACCTGAGGCCTTGTGAGGCACTGTTCCCAGCAGAGGGACATTGACGGTTGGATCTGCCATGATGCCTTTATCCAGAGAGCGCAAGGACAGGAATTCATAGAAGTATTCTGCCTACAACAAAAGGCATGAGAGTCAGCACCATGGAAACCACAGAGAGTGAGGAGGCATTTCGCAACTCATCACCCCTTTGAGGGAGAGTGACATTTTCACTACAGGACCTCTGGAGCACACGACCACTTAAAACTGTGTATCATAAATTACTTCTCCCAGCTACACTTCCCTTACACTTTACTGATAATGTTTATTACTTAACATTTTGTTCCAAAACACATTTTAGCTGGTATTATGAACAGATTGCATGCTGGATGTACTAATATTTAATAACTTTGGATTATTTATATTGCCAGGCACAATAATAACAACTAGCGACAATGACACAACAAACGTCCATGTATGCATACCATGTGCCAAGACGTATTCTAAACATTTGTATTAACAGTACATATAACAATGGAAAAGAGTTGCATGGATGGAGTGCAAACACTCTGGGGGAAAAATGCATTTCAGTGGCTATATTGTTTCCAGTACCCTCTAATAAGTTATCATTCGCTGCTCCATCATTACATACTCTAGCTTTATCACATTCTAAATTAAATTCATGTTTATATGGCTGGCATATTTAAAATTACATTTATAAAAACATAATTTCAATAAGTTTTAAAAACTAAATTTAATGGGGTGACATTTATTAATAAGATTATATAAGTTAGAGTGTATGATTCTATAAATACATCATCTATATATTGGCTGTGTGCTCACCACCCAAAGTGACCATATATCTGACCCCCCTCAGGCCTCTTCCCCCCTGGTAACCTTCATACTGTTGTCTGTGTCCATGAGCTTTTTGTTTAGTCTGTTCATTTGTTGACTATATCCCACATGAGTGAAATCATATGGTTCTTGACTTTTTCCATCTGGTATATTCTTCTTAATGTGATATTCTCTTAGCAAGATCCCTGATCAGTGAAATCATATGGTTCTTGTCCTTTTCCATCTGACTTATTTCATTTAGCATGATATTCTCAAGAATCCATATTGTTGCAAATGGCAGTATTTCATTTTTCCTTATGGCTGAGTAGTAGTCCAGTGTATATTTGTACCCAGTAAGTTACAAAAATCATTTTATGTGTTAAGAAAAAGGATGAAAAATTAGATAAAGATTAGGTAGAGATTAAAACAATGATTGTCTAGTATAGATAACTATTATTTTCCTTCTCTCTCCTTTTCAAATTTTTTACATGTGGTTCCATACCTTTTATAGTGAAATAAATACATTTATTTAAGAGCAAACATTAATCATGTACCCATCTAATCATTGATGAAATATTCTTCTTGGACTTCTATTTAGTGTGGCTGTGCTCACATAACAATCTCATTTAAAATTCTTGAATGTTTCCTTGAAAGGGTGTTTCAAGAAAAAAAATACTCAATTAAAAAAAAATTTATTGTTGAAAGTATTTACATATGTCCCCTTTTCCCCCCATTGACCCCAATTTTTATTCACACGACAGCTACTAGTATTATTGTGCTGGCTGTTGTCATCTTTTTATATAACATACATAAAATGGTATCACAAATTACTTCTCCCCGCTACACTTCCCTTTGCACTTTACTGATAATGTTTGGGGTCAAAGAAAACCTAACTTCTATGCCAAAGAGAACAGCCAGCCAGCCTTAAAGTTTGAGAACAAGTTTCACAAATTCTAGGGAAAGGAGGTCAGTGCCCCTGACTAAATAGATATTGCATGTCTTAAAAATTCTTTCGGCACACCAGTGTGCTGTGGCACAAGGGTTGTACATCATTGCATAGAGCATTTGGGTCTCCTGTTGTAGCTTTTGAGTATGGCCACAGTAAGTAGGTTGAGAAGCATGGAATCCACTGTATTCAATATCAGGGAGCTGGCATGACCACTCAACATGATGCATTTAAGCTTGATGGACTTCTCTGGACAGCCAATACTCTGATCTTATCAATAACAAATTTCACACTACATAGGCTTTAGGGTGATTTCTTTGAGAATCAGTATACATTATGGTTTTTCTCCTGCAGTTCTAAGACTGTATCACAGGTCAAGAACTGGTTCAAGCAATTTCCTATTTGGAACTTATCAGCAAAGGCAGTTGCCAGAGTCAACATTTTTGTTTGTTTGTCTCTCTTGTAGAAGATGATAGTGTTTCATAATCTCTGAAATATATAATTTTCTTTATACTTAGCATAGTTTTTAAAAAGTGGTTTGCTCATGTATTGTTTTCATTGCCTTATTAAGAATTCCAACTTGAAAACCACTTAGAGATTGACTAACCCTTTGTCTCTGATTTTGACACTGATTTCTTTTAACATTCCACTTCATCATTATAAAGAGATCTACCAAAACCACCAATACCATATAAATATTTCCACAGATAATCATCACCATGAGGCAGAGATGAAATATATTACTCATTTAACTTAAAATTTTAAATATTTCCCTCAGAGTTATAGAAAATGGTTGATGAAATAAGCAATAGATTTGTAATGTCATTTTCTAACTTCTAGTCAGGACTTTGTTTTTACTTTGTTTATAATATAATAAGTATCCTTAGTCCCAAACCTCTCCACTGGAAAAACTATTTGGGGTCAAAGAAACCTAATTTCTATGCCAAAGAGAACAGAGAGCCAGCCTTAAAGTTGGGGAACAAGTTTCACAAATTGTAGATTTATTACTTAGATAAAAGGAAGTCAGAGCAGGAACTGTAATAGGGAGGTGGCATATTGGAGAGCATGCAACTTCTATTAGGAAAAAGTACATTTTGTTTCATTAAATGACACTAGTGGAAACTCAGGTAGAGGCAAGGAGAGTGCTTATTTGGGAAACATATGAAAGATTGCCTTGTATTCAAACAAAGAATGGGCCTATTCAGTAGAATAATTCACTTCTAAATTAAATTGCTGAAAAATCTTGCTGGCCTGGTTTGCATGCAGTAAATTTTCTTTTCATGGAGAGGTATAAAAGACACACAAACTTTATCAAGAGAGGAGTGCTGGAGGCCTTTTAACTTGCTCCTAAGAGACTTGGCTGAATTATTGGGGTTGTTCCTTTCAGAAGTGATGAAGGTATCATTTAAACAGCAAAATGGGACAACTCATAAGGCCTTCACTCTGGCGTGCTTTCTTTGGGTAGACAAAGAGAGCAGAGAATTGCATTAACCATTGGTAGGAATGGAGAAAACCCAGTATTTCTTTTCCACCTTTGAAGTTCTGGGTTTATGGTGTATATTGAATCTAATAAGCACAATAATTGCAGGATCCTCTGAGTTAAGAATCAAAGGTTCTTCATAAAACCATGAAGGCTGTCAAAGAGGGCTCAAACCTCATTTAATTTCATATATCCTGATGCTGAACTAAGTGCTCATGGGAAAACACCAAAACAATTGCCCCAAAAAAATGTTTGTCCCCCTCGCCCTAACCGGTTTGGCTCAGTGGATAGAGTATTGGCCTGCAGACTGAAAGGTCCCAGGTTCGATTCCAGTCAAGGGCATGTGCCTCGGTTGCAGGCGCATCCCCAGTGTGAGGTGTGAAGGAGGCAGCTGGTCGATGTTTCTCTCTCATCGATGTTTCTAGCTCTCTATTCCTCTCCCTTCATCTCTGTAAAAAAATCAATAAAATATATTTTAAAAAAATGTTTGTCCCCCCCCCAAAATATTTGTCCCAAAGAAAATTTCAGATGGTTTAGAGATACAAAACGTAGAGATGCCTTAAGGTTTAAAACTTTAGAACTAATTTTTGTTGAGTCTTTACTTGAGTCACCGTTCATTTCATTCTCACAGCATCCTACTATTTTTATAGCATAGACATATGTCCAGATTAACAGCACAGGGAGTTTGAGAATTATTAAAGGGTTATAGACTAGCTCCTACAATGTGTGTGAAAGGCAAGAAGAAATCTACTGAAATGACGAAGAGAGGAAAATAGTTCAATGTGAAAGTCTCAAACGTATAAGCATGCCCAATGCTTAAAATAACCTGACGCCTGAATGTCTAGACCAGAAACTGTCAGATCTCACATTCTTC